CAATATAAAAAATCAAGAATTAAAAATATAAGGATGAGCATCACATAAATAATTAATTTTTGATAAGTCCTAAAGAGTTCAATAAAGAACCAAAAATATAGATAAAATTTCTCACACATATAATACAAAAAAACAACTAAAATAGAAGGCAAAATCATTATCTCCCAACTCATATTTTTATACTCATCATTATAGTGCAATGACCTTTTTGTCCTTCATAAAAAAAATTATTCCTTTTGAATTAGGGGCATTTTTATCTTTTCATGAGGCAAATTAATCATTATAGATTTTTATAGGGGTATTATTAGATTTTTCTTATATCAATTAATAGTTAAACAACCAAACCCGCTCCTAAAAAAAACAACATTATCATGCATGGGTATTTTTATTTTTTTTAGTTTTTTGTGTATAGTGAAATTATACATATGCCTTAGAAACCAAAAAAGTTAACATATGGAATCAGGGGCAATATGATATTTTTACCTCGGGGTATTTTATTAATTATTGGTTTGATCAAGGATAATAACATCATTGAACATTTAATTAATAGTTTTTAAATTGAAAAAGTTGTTGGCACGTGTTATATATGTGTGAAATCTCTTGGTGATTTAAAAAATGCTTTCTCCATCTTATTTTATTTTGTATCGTCTCCTTTTCCTTCCTGGATCACGCGTGTCAGCTTACGATGACTAGTTATCACTGTTTGGTCTTTTTTCTTTCCTTTCATCTCTCTCTTCTACCTTAAAAAATAAGCTATGGTTCTCATTGTTATTGGTCTTTCAAATTAAATCCTTTTGTTTTTTATTTTTATTTTTGTCCTTTTCTGTTTTATTATATTTTTATTTTTTTAATTTAATCTTTCAATTCTAATCTACAATATATATATTTTTTAATTTGGTCAATTTTCTTTTGATTTCTTAGTTTTTTTCCTTGGCTTTTTATTAGAACTTTTATGGTTTTTAATTTTATCCTTCAAATCAAGTTTATGATTTCTTGTTTTTTTAATAGTAATAGTAGAAAGAGGAGGAATAAGATGATTAACAATAATATAACAATAATACTACTAGTAGTAGTAATAATAACAACAATAGCAGCAACAAGTTGTAGTAGCAGCAGTAACAAGTAGTAGTAATTGTTGTGATGGTAGTGTAGTGGTGATAATTCATCATTTAATGTTAGATTTATTAGAAATTGTGTTCTGCTATTTTTCTTGTATGGTACTTCTAGCCTAATTTCTAAGATTTTGAATTTGAAAAGTTGAAATGGCCTAGTGTCTTCTTTTATTTACCTTATTTATTTTTTCTAATTTGATCATTCAACATTAGTTTTTTAAAAATAAAAAAGGCTTTGTGATTTTTTAAAATTTATTTTTTATAAGGTTAACTCAATCTCATAACTTAGACCGCGAGTTTAATAGGTTAATATGAGTTGGTTTACCTCTTATTACCTAGTTTACATATCTATTATGCTACTTCAAGTTAACTTGATCCTGGTTTTTTTTTTTTTATCAAATTACATACTTCTTAATATTTTTTAGGTTATCGTGATCTTTTTCTTTTATTTTGTTCATTCACTATTGTTATATTTTTTTTATTGTCTAATTAAAATGAAACTAACTTATTAAGCCCAGTCAAAACTATAACTCAAGTAATTTGTTTTTTCTATTTATTTAAAATGTGCTTACAGTGCCTAGACATTGTTTTTTCCCACAAAGAAAAATACAGACCTATAGCGTAGCACAAACCATATCTAATTATTTTTAAATAACCATGTTTCTTTCCTAAATAACCTAAATACAAGCTAAATAAACATATTTATATTATGTAAAACATCCTAAAAAAGAATGGAAAATAAAAGAAGAGTTTTAAATAAAATTAAAAAAATAATCATAAACCAACTAAGAAAAAATGCAATTCTCATACAGTGACTTCTAGGTTTTATTGCAAGGCCTTCTTGAACTCTAATTACTATAAAATTCTAACCCTGTTGAAAAAAAAAACCTTTACAAATATTCTGGAAAATTTCATATTAATCTAACAATTATATAAAAAATTATGTTTGTTGGTATAAAATTATGTATTATAAAAATCAGCCAAAAACTACATCAAATTTCCTTGAATAATAAAGGAACGTTACTAAAGAGAAAATCCACAAAACAAAAAGAAATTTATGGTGATAAATAATTCTTAAGGTTAAAAATGAGGATTCCTTGCAAAATCAAAATATTATTAGCTAAATAATTCATCAAGTTAGTGCCTATATGTCTAGCTCACATAGGGAATCCCAATCTTTTAAGAAATCTACAAATTATATGAAAAATAATCATTTTCTGACTTTTCTTATTTAGTGGTAGATTTTAAATCTTACTTTAAACACATCATTTTTTTTTTCCTATATGAGTTACTAGGCTTAACATATATTGATAGAAAACTTGAGATATTTTGTTTCTATTTCAACTAAAATCGTAATGAAATTCCACATGTAACATCAGAGATTGCCAAAAAGCATATAAAGGTTCAGTATGATAGATTTGCAACTTATTAACTCAAATATCTTGACTTGGTCTATTAAATTTTTCTTTGATCTTCTTAGTTTTAGATCTGGTAATAGATCCAATTGATATATCTAATAAATCATTTGATGATATTAATTGATTCTTATCACAACATCCATGTAAAGGATTCAATAACAATTAACCTAATCTTGAGTTGAGTTATTGAATAAAAAATGATGAATACAATGTTATTAAACACAAGTCTCAACATATTTCCCAAATATATCCACACGTCTAAAAAATCATTCATATATTACAAATAATTCAATACAAGTCAATTAATGTAAATAAATATAATATAGAAATAATACTAATTCATGCCTCCCAAATTACTCCAAATAAAATAAATAACAACAATATTCAGTTAAGCATTCTTGAATTAAAACCCAACAAATATACCATAAATAATTTTAAAAACAAGTAGATCACACATTAAGGTTCAAAATCAACCTATACAACTCAAAAAAGTCAGCCAAAACTAAACTAGTTAGGTTGGAACAAGAAGAAACAGTGTTGGGAAAAACAAGTGTTGACATATATTGTTTACTTGTTTGATGACTAGTCGGGATTTTAAGGATTTTTTACATGTTTTATAATGGAAGGGAGGCACATGGATGACCCTATAGTGTTAACATATCTTCTTATTCTTATAAGTACAGGCAGTGTCAATCATGCTTATTAAAGCTAGGAGATCGAGGGTTAAGAATTTTGATCTATCTTCTCCTCTTTAATGTGACAATTTTTTAAGCATTTTTTTTTCTCATGTTGGTTTTTGCTTTTGGTAGCTAGGTTTTTCTTTTTAAGAATCTCCTCGAATCTATGTGTATGTATTCTTTTGTTTTGTTTTTTTTTTTTTTTTTTATAGAATGTCTTATACTTTTATTGTTTAGGATCATTTGTTAAAAAAAAAAAATAACACCTAAACTAGCAAAATAATATTATGCAATTATATTTTTTTCTTATTGATTATGGATTCCTAATTAATTAAATTTTCCCTTAATAAGCAGGGTGTTTTTTACTATGTTTTTTTAAATTTTACTTGATCCTCATTTTTATTTTTAATTTTTCTCTTTTACAATTTCTTCTCCTATTATTTTTTAGTCCCTATAATTTATAATAATTTATTCTATGTTTTTTTAAATTTTACTTGATCCTCATTTTTATTTTTAATTTTTCTCTTTTACAATTTCTTCTCCTATTATTTTTTAGTCCCTATAATTTATAATAATTTATTCTCTCTCTCTCTCTCTCTTCACTCTTTGAACTCTCTTCTTTCAATTATTATTATATTATAATTATAAAATATAATTAAATAAAAAAATTAAGGGTAAAAAATGAGTTATGATAATAACATTAAACTGTTGTAAAGAGGATTAATACAGTTTAAATCAAGAATTTTATCTTGTTGAGCATCTTTCATTATTTTTTTTTGCACTTGATTTTTAAATTATCAATAAGAACACCATTAACGATATTATTACTACCAGTATATGATATCATTTTCTATATAATCATAAATTGGTGGGTGATTCAAATCCTCAATATAACCAAAATAATCAAATAGTTGCCTTCTTTTCTTGTACTTCTAAAACAAGTTTTCAAAATTGACCTTGGATTCATGATCACTCTTCCTATAATACTCTAATTTTCTATTTTTCATCTTTCTTAATTGACAAGACAATTCTTTAACTTTCATCTACATGTTTATTATATTTGGTCAATAGTTTAATTTTTTAATTTATTTTTATTTGTTTTTTATAACCAAATCCTAAACCTTTCTTTCTTTAGAAAAAAAAAACATGTTCATTCCCTACTGCACAAGCATATAGTTATTCAACAAAACAAATCAACTAACTATCATAAATTATTTAATTCGAATATCATTTAACACATATAAAAACAACAAAAAAAGATAACAAGTATAGAAATATAAAATTTTGAGAAGAAATTCTAATTTATCATTTTATTATTAAATATATTTTTTCAGGTGGCTTACTTGAGGTTTACAAATAAAAATATAAAAAATAGTATAATTAAAAAATAAAAATAATTAAAAAAATATTAAAAAAAAACTGTATAAATATTTTTTTCTTCATGGATGGTCCGGAGTGGATTAATGAAGAAAAGTCTCTTAGAGACTAAGATGTCATGTGATATCATCTTTTTAACTGTATATAAATAATATATCACTTTCTCATTATACATGTTGCATAAATTATTTATAAAAATAACTTTTAAATTATAAAAATCACATTAAAAAAAATCTTAATTTCTTTACATATTTTGAGAGAGAGAACTGATTCTAATTTCAAACTAAATCCAAAAGGAAAAATCTTCTTCTCCCTCAACAATTATGCTCTGAACTCTAGCAATAAAAAAAAGGAAAGAAATGAAGACAAATCCTAATGTTGCTCATCTTCGAAGCTTCCCACGATCCCATCCAATCCTAGACGGTTCACAATCCATAGCCCAGCCCATCTCCAAACCCCACCAAACTTAGCACATAAGGACTCTTCAGACTCCAAAAGTCTTCGAAAAATCAGGGAAAATGGCGTCTTCAGACCCTTCCAGGCCCGTAACCGGCTACCCTGTTGTCCCAAACGGCATCCAGAACCCTGCCCTACCGGCAGGCTCTGCCTATGCTTCCCAAGCCCCACCACCACATCAACCCACTTACCCTTACACCTACAACACCAACGAAACTTACCCTAACCAACGCGCCATCTTCCTCCGCCGCGTAATTATCGCTCTAATCATCTTCACAGGCATCTTTTTCACCATTCTCTTCATTTGCTGGCTAGTCATCCGACCCCACTTCCCTGAATTTCGCGTCACCTCTCTCTCTATCTCCAACTTTAATGTCTCCACATCGTCCTCCAGTGTGACTGGTACCTGGAACGCCAGGTTTCAGGTTTCTAATCCGAACAAGAAGATGAAAATCTCATACAATGAGATACAGACTTCGATCTTTTATAAATCGGAGTTCTTGTCCCGGACGAGGGTTCCCCCGTTCAGACAGGGCAAAAAGAATGTCACTAATATCGATGTGGAATATGGGGCGACGAGTTCTTATATCGGCGAGCGGTCGGTGAGTCAGATTAATTCTGATGAAGGGCGTGGATTGGTGAGTTTTAATTTGAGGATTGTTGCTGATGCGGGGTTTAAGGTTGAAGGGTTTTGGGCAAGAAGAAGGTTGCTTAGGGTTTATTGTAATGATGTTGCAGTTGGGATTTCAAGGAATGGTCGATCTGGGAACTTGACTGGTGGTGCCACGCGATGTAGTGTTTATGCCTGAGTGGAGAACTTTACTGATTGGGAGTAAGACGAAGCAGAAGACAAAGTTTCTTAATGTAATTTGTTTTGGTTTTTAACTGAGGACTGATATTCCGGATTCCGAAAATGGAGTTGGCGGGGGTAAATTGATTTAGGTATTTGTGGATCATGTAGAGTGCTTTGGGAAAAATAATGCTGATTTCATTCAAGAATTTGATTGCCTGAAATTGTGGGTAATCTTATTTTTCAGATTGGTTTCTTATATTGCTGTGAAATTGAGAAGTTAATAGAGGAAGTAAAGGAATCTTGAAAGTATATGGATTGTAATGGTGATGTTATTGCTGTTTGTGTCTTTGTTTGGTAGGTAAGTGTTACATTATTCATTGCTTTCGTCTAAAGACTGCCGTCGAGACAGATTTTTTTTCTTAGGCGTAATTGCTAACAGGTAAAATGATTAAATAGTTGTAGGTTTGGTGTGGAGATTCATCTGGGGCCGTTGCATTGTTTAAGTTGCAACAATTGAGAGATGAAGAGATTGTGCAATAAAGATGATGCGTAGAGCTATCTTGAAATCCTCTTCTCTTGCTTTTCTACTCCATTTCAGTGGGGTGTGATTGAATAATGAGAGGAGATGGTTTTAGAGAGTTTGCGATGGGTTTATTCGTTTCAATTTGAGGAGAATTATGCCTATAGCTGGTAGTTATTTGGGGCAAGTTGTGTTTATCTTATGAGAAATTTGAGGCTGTTGTGTGCCTTAGATTTGTGATGCTAGACAATTAGAGCTAAATTATATAGCTTTTTTTTAAAGGATTCTCCTTGGGATGGAGCAGATAATGAAAACTGGGATGGAATTCCACCGATTCTTGTCGAATGCTGCCTGCTGGTTAGGTTTTACCTTATCTGCCAGGCAAGTGGACAGGTCTTGCTTTTGCTTTATTTGATCCCTTGTTCTCACTCTGTCACTTTTTCGGTATTGTTCCATTAGTGCTTGTTCTCTTGAAGTAGCCTTTTGAATTCAAGCAGAAGCACGCAGTTGCTTACAAAATCAGCATTGTTTACCTGTGCTTTCCTTTTGTTCAAGCATGCTATCTTGTTCTTGGGGTGGAGGGCAATAAGATGCCTTCTCCTTTTGTCTTTGTTCTTCCTTTGATTGAGTGCATTTGTGTAGATTCTTTATTTTTCATCCATGTAGCTTCGAGTGTTTATATTTTGGTCTTAAAACATCATAATTGTTCAATCAATAAGAGTAAATTTGAAAAAGGTATTGATGCCTCCGCTATTTCGTCTAAATTACAATTACAACACATATATTATAATTTATTAGCAAGTCTCTGCTTATATGGCATTTTTCCAACTTCAATATATTTTTTTAATAATTTATTAGTACAAATATTCTTAAATTCATTATATTAAATATGGACATTATTATTGATAACTTCTTCTATTGTATTAAGAATAAACTTTAAATCCTTCCCATAACATAACACAAGCAAGATAACCTATTTTGTACGATCAATTTTCACTTAAGAAGACGAAAGGTCTGCCCTACTGTTTGATGTATGTTTTTTTTAATAATTAACTGGTTTCGAAATTTTAAGTTGTTCTAATTTTGTATTTAATTCTAATTCTAGCTATTAAGTAATTTAATTGAAAAATAATAATCAAATTACTAAACAACTTAATTGTAAAATAAAATAAAAATAATTTATATTTTAATTACATTCGAGAATTGAATTGGCTATATATATATATATATATATATATATATATATATATATATATATATATATATATATATATATATATATATATATATATATATATATATATATATTCATGTCTTCAGCTATTCTAGCAATCTATTAAATCCTAGTATAAGACAGTTGTTAAAAAAAAAATAAGAAGCTACAACATAATTACACGTACAAATAAATTCAACTCAATATTGGATTGACACTCTTTTCAAATCACAGAATTATTTCTGGCTTTACAAAAATTTTCCCAATAGACCTCTTTTAAAATAGTATTTCTAAACCTCTTTTAAAATCATTTAAAATCACAAGCAGATTTTTCTCCTCAAACCCTTAAGTACTTTATAAACTCCTCAGCAAATCATTTTCAAATCTAAATCACAATATATTTTTTAAACTAAATTCTAAAATATTTTAAATATAAAAAAAGACTTTTATCATGAAAACTTTTTCAATACAACTTCAAAACTATTTTCCTCACATTGGCATTACAAACCTGGTATTTAGCAAAATCTTAATCATATTATGCTACCATCCTTAAAATCACCAATTCTTCTTATTTCTAAGATTAGAAAGAAGTACTAGTTAAAAACAAAACCAAAGATATATATATATATATATATATATATATATATATATATATTTTATTCT